GCCGGCCGGTCCCCCCGCAGCCTCCCCGCGGCGGCGGCTCCTCCTTCGGCTTCTCCGTGTTCAACCTGATGAACGCGATCATGGGCAGCGGCGTCCTGGGCTTGTCCTACGCCATGGCCCACGCGGGGGTCGTGGGCTTCAGGTGAGTGCCCGGCTGCGGCCACTGCCGCCGCCCCGGCGCGGCAGCCGCGGGAGGGGGGTCCGTAACCCGGGCTTTTCCATCCTATGGAATCACCCTTTCCCACGGCTGCTCCTTTGGATGCGGCCTCGTGCGAGCCCTGCCCAGACACTGCCTTAAATTGCCGCATGGTGGCAATTACTGGCCATTAGTACTAATTAGCAGCACTTTTGTCGTGTAAATATCTGTGCCCTGCAGTTCTCGAATTGGGCTTTCTGGAGCAGCATGGTCACTATGTGGAAAATGTGGGTCAGCTTTCCCTTTGCCTGGTTGTACATACCAACCTAGGAGGACTACAGTATCCACAACTGTCAATCTAACCATATTCTAAGCTTTAAGTTCACTTCATTAAAAGTAATGCGCATTTAAAAATAGTATTTATAAATGTTTCTGCGTATACTTATGCACACACGCAATAATTTCTGTATTTATGTCCTTGTGTTTCATATTTCACATATCCTATATCCTACGTAGTATAGGATATGTATCCCCACGTAGTACATGATACACTCGCCTGCAGGCAGCAGCTTAAAAAGTTGGAACTCAGCAAGAGTTGGGAAGGTCAGGAGCTGTATGAACCATAGTCAGCAGATACAAGCTGTAAAATGAGGAAATCCCGTCTTGTGATAAGTTATTTCTTGCAGAATAATCATTTGTAAAGACAGAAGTGCCTTGTACTTGAACAATGACCTAAACTTTGTGTTTTTAGTATCTTGCTGCTGATTGTTGCCAGCCTTGCTTCTTACTCTGTGTTTCTGCTGCTCAGTATGTGCATTCAGACTGGTAAGTGTAAAGGATTTGTCTGAGAGTTATCTCTATGGTATTTCTTTGCCTGCATCATAAAGACATTACCCAGTACAATTATTACAATTAACAGCATGTTAACAAATTCCCAAATCTAATTCACTAATGTTGACATATTTTAATCTTTTCATGATTGTTATTTGACATAAAATATGTTTTTGAAACTTCTTGGGAAAAGTAAATGCACAGCTGCCTAGTTTCTAGGTTGCTAGTTTTATTTTTCTTGAAGTGCCTCTTTCCAAAATGAAAGATTCTGTATTTCCTTAGCAAAAACTATTTTAGGGCTAGTAGGACTCCGCTGCTTTAGTGTGTACTTACCTGCATAAATAATATTACTGTTACTTTTCAACGAAAGTTTAAGTGTAATAAAAGAGACAGCTTTTATTCTTCTTGTGATACATATTTGTTCAACATGTGAAATGGATACCTTTCAATTTTGGTAGTCATATTGGTTTATTGTAATTGCCATGGCACTTTGGAGATGTGTTTCCTTCCAGCATTTTGCCATTTTGAAGAGAAATCATACTGCAGTCCTTAGTTTGAACTTACACTACTTTGGGAACCTTCAACGAGTTGATTCTAAAGTACAAAACTTAATCTGCTGGTAATACTTTAATTATTGGTTAAATCATTAGTGAAGCAACTGGCTGGTTCCTTCTTTCTAGTACGTAAAGATTGTGCTGTAGCAGGAAGTCTCCCGCTCTTTCCGTCACCTGGTTATTGTTTCCATCTCATCTTCTTTCCTCTTTTCAAAGGTGGAGGGAGAAGGTTTCCATTTCTTGTTGGCTTTGCTTTCTGTAGCTAGCTTTGGTCTCTCAGATGATTGCTTCCTGATTCCCTCTCAGATCTGCTGCTCCTGTCTTCACCTGTTGAATGAGCTTCTTCATAGACTCTAAAAAAAACCCCAAACTTGAGAGGTAGGGTTATTATTATGTATGATATTGTTGGCTGCTTGATGATTTGGAACTAGTCTTGGGTAATCTCTCTTTCCCCTTGGAACTCTGCTTATTAAAAAGGAATCGTGACCTCTAGCAAAAAGCTAGAGAAACGGAAAAAGCAAGATAGAGGAAGCTTGAGATTTTTTAAATGATCTTTGTATATCTCATCTCAGCCTTAAAAGTACTGTATCATATAGGGACAAGGTGCTAAATTGTTGTTTCTGTTAAAATATAATTAACTCCTTGCAAAAGAACTACTGGGAAGAGGACAAAGGAGAGAGAAAATTATGAAGACAATCTTTTTGGAAAAAAAGAAAAAAAATCCATATTAGAAACTTAAAGACCTAAGATAAAAAAGTGGTTTAACTCCTCAATTATTGTCCGAAGGTGACATTCCCCCATCAAGAAAGCATTTTTGCATGGACACATTTAAAAGCAAAGGATACAGCTGAGATGACAGGATGAATTATTCCTCCAGTCTGAAACTAGTACTTTACAGTTAAGAATTAGCAATCAGCTAATGTTGGACAGTCAGGCTAGCACTGGAATTGCTATGTCTACAAGTATTTGCTGGCCTTAAATTTATGGCCTTCTATGTGTTTTTTAATCATCTCTCTCAAATTACATTTACTGTAACTCTTATAAACTATTAAAATAATTTCATAATAGCATTCCAGGTTTTACCCTGGGACATGAAGTCTTAAAAAGTGAGAAATATGACCTGTTGGGTATTTACAAGGCAAAACCTGTTTAACTGTTTGTGTAAACTGCCTTCCAGAGCAGATAATTAAACATTTTTATTCTTTATAAAATGTGCATACAGTTACGAACAATGCCATGAGCTTAATCCACAGTAAGGGATTAGAAAGAAGTCTTAGTTGTTTAATGTTAAGGAATGAATTTGAAAAGATTTAATGGGTGGGGAAAAAAACCTTTGGATATGTCTGTAAATTCATTCTCTCAAATATTCAAATCATTATAGTAATCCTGGGAAAGAACTGGCTTGTTAAGTACACTTCTGAAAAAGATGATTTAATTATCCTTTTTTAGTGCTTAAAAAAAAAAGGTGTTTTCATTTATTTTTAATGATATAGCTCTAGACCGACTTTGACAAAATCAAATATTTTTTTTTGACCAAAAGGCTTAGCAAATGAATACTGCAGGGTGTCAAGAGCTGTATTTGGATTAGTTCATGCAGTGGTTTTTCGCTGTGTTAATTCCATCCTCGTTTCAAAGTGCAGACTGACAAAAGCAAAATTCATTCCGTAGAGTGTAGAAACAGAGATTTTTAAGCACGAAATACTTCAAAATTGTGCAGATTCATTTATTTTTTATTTCTAGTACATGAGTTAGTCATTAATTTTGCCAGTGTCAATTTGGGTTTGCGTAGGTAACTTCCATTGAGCAATAAGAACGCAGCAGAAATCAAGCCAATCTGACAGAGCACATTTATCTTTATAGCATCAGTGCGTAAGATTTTGCCCCGTATCTTCTTGAAAAATAGGTTTCGTTTGGGGATTTTGTGCAAATTTTGTTGTTTTTTAGTGATAGTTTCTAGTATGCATTTGTTGTGTATTTGTTCCCATGTGCTAAAAGCAATAGCATAATAAATAAATGCATTTAAAATTTTGCTACTCTTTAATGTTATTGAGGATGGCCTTCCAAATGCTGTCATTCTTTCTCATAATTAATTGCATTATAAACATAATTTTAAGAAAAATACACGGTAAAATCCAGTCAGACAAATTGCTTATATAATTATATCTGCATAAACTTATATCAGCGCAACAGCAAACGTAAGATTATCCCACGTTAATGCTGAGCGCTGACCCTGGCCTTTAGTTTTGGCATTTCCTTTACTTTAGCATTGCATTTTGGTGTCAGTGGTAGAGGGGAATGTGAAATGCTGCCCCTGACGAAGTCGTATGAGGCGATGAATGAAGTTTTGTTTTATTTCTGCGGTCGATTCGATTGCGCGCGGAACTTGAGCGGGATGAAATGGTGCGAGGCTGCGTCCCGCCGCCCGCCCTGCCGCTGTCTCCATGTCCTGTTGCATTTGCTGGGATTGGGGCTTCACTCAGGTGTAAAGGTCTGCCCTGCACAGCCCAAACTGCAGGGCTGGGCCCTAAATAAAGATGTGACAGCGGCTGAAACATTAATAAACCACGTAGACGCAAAGACGGCGGAGCAAGTGTCTCGACAATAAAATTATGTGGGTTTTTTTGCGATTAATTTTACCCTCCGAGGTATTTACAACTGTGGACCATTTTATTATAGGCTGAGAAAAGGAGGGTTATTTCTCAGAAAACTTTCATCTTTTTGATATCCCTTGAGCTCCTAATAACAAAGTACAGAGCCCCAATGTGAGACTTAATGTGATTTCCGCCGCTCTGAGAAGGGATTGTTTTGAGTTACCAGCAATATTAGAAGGGAGCTTCAGCTAAAGCTCAACCAAAGCATACAGGAAACCACAAACTATTTTAATGTGATTATGTGAGTCAGGTGCAGTTTTTGTTTTGGGGTGTCTTTTTTTGCCTTTTTAATATGTATCTATAAACAGATCTCCACCAAGGAAGGTGCCTTTAGTTCTCCTGGAAACAAGCAGTGCTATGTTTTCTTAAAACCTGGCAAGGCTGTGGTTTAAGTTGATACTAATAGAAAAATGATGATGGGTTCTACCTTGTTTTCTTTATTTTTTAGAAAAGCGTACACTTTTTGTCAAATAAAACATGGAAATAGTTTACACTTCATTGGTGAGGCTAATTTTGGAAAAATTCATCTGTAGTATTACTCGGGAAAAAAATCTCTGAAAGAAGGCAATTTTCTATCTTTTTTTCTAAATCCACTTTTAATATTATAGTAATTTGAGCTTCTGGAGAATCTGTGGATTGAGGTCAGTTGAGCATTCGTAGCTGTATTTTGCAGGAGTACAGGGGTGTATAAAAGCTATCTCATAAATGGAAAATATTATACTGCTTTAGTTCTATCCTGAATTATTTGCATTCTTTTTAAAAAAAGAAAAGCTAAAGATCTTAATGGAATGTGAAGCTTCAAATATTTGAGCTTTTTTTTTTTCATCCTTATTAATAGCTGTTACTTCTTATGAAGATATTGGCCTCTTTGCATTTGGTTCACCTGGGAAGGTAAGCCATCTTTTTAACTGTATATTTTTCTTCTTACTCTTAGCCACTTACCAAACTATATTTCTTGCCTGCTGAAGATATAGGAACAAAATAGCCTGTGTAGTTAGCAAAGCTCTAATAAAAATCCATTACTTCCTGAATACAATTTTCTGCAGCATTTTAGTTAA